ATTTAATTTGTATTTTCTAAAGATTACTTTTTATGCAGTGTGGATAATGGATTGGAGGTAAACAAAAATGGATGGGGAGAACAGTTAGAAGGATGTTATAATCTAAGTGGTAACTTATGGTTGATGGTTGTAACCTCTTAAGAGAAATCATAGACACATTCTTAGCCGTAGCTCTTCAGGATCTTATCCCTCCCAACTATTCAACCTTGCTGTTCCCCAAATCTGGCAAGCTTGTTCTTTGTTCAAGGTCTTTCCCTGTTCTCTGTAACCTGAGCCTTTCATCTCGGGCCTGCAGAGTTCAATGTTTAACTGCACTCAAGTCTCTGCACAGAGAGGTCTTTCCTGGCCATTTTGTTGAGAAATGACCCCCTGCTCTTGTCATTATTTTCTGTTCTCCTTACTCTGCTTTTTCTTTGTAGTTTTTTAAGAAATTGCAACTTGAAATTATACATTTATTTATAGCATATTTTCTGCTGCTAAAATATAAGATCCACAGGGGCTGGTCTTATCTAAACTTGTAACCTCCCTTCCCCCCGTACCTAGTACATAGTGGGTGCTTAATAGACATTTGTTGAATAGATGAGTGAATTGATTGAAGTTGGGATAATGGAATTCATTTTTCCCTTTTCAGCTGTATCTCAAACATCTCTCTGGCTGTGAACTTTTTTCAGAGCTTGAGGTTAATGCCCAAACCCTGTCTTGCTGTCACCTCAAATTCAGTATATATAAAATTACATTATTTTCCTTCCTTCAGTCTTTTACTTTTGTTAATGCTGCCATCACTGACAGTCCTCAGGCACAAAACCTTGGTGTTATCTTGCAGTGTTCACTACCCCCGACCCCTAGGGCGCTGTATATTCCCATTTATGTCTTTGGGGAAGTTTTCTGGTTACTGTTTGATTTCTGCTTTTTGCCTATTGACATTTTAGCCAGCCCTCAGGGCCCTGCTTCAATCCTTCTCTTAGGTCTGTAGTTTGTTTTGTTTTGTTTTTGAGACAGGGTCTTACTCTGCTACCTAGACTGTAGTGCAGTGGCATGATCACGGCTCAGTGCTGTCTTGACCTTGACCTTGTGGGCTCAAGCCATCCTCCCACCTCAGCCTCTTGGGTAGCTGGGACTACTGTTACGTGTCCCCACACCTGGCTAATTTTTAAAATTTTTTATAGACACGGTATCTCGCCCTATTGTCCAGGCTGGTCTCGAACTTGTGGCCTCAAGCAATGCTCCTGTTTCGGCCTCCCAAAGTGCTGGGATTACAGGCATGAGCCACCATGCCTGTTGTAGTTACTCTTTATTTAATTAAAAACAACAAAAAAAAACCCACACAGTCTCCTGATCTGTTAGTTCCTCTCCCATGTCCTAATATTTTGAACATAGTATTCAGTTGCCTTTCTTTTTTTTTTTTTGAGACAGGGTCTCACTCTGTCACTCAGCCTAAAGTACAGTACCACAATCTTGGCTCACTGCAACCTCCACCTCCCGGGAGCGATTCTCCTGCCTCAGCCTTCCGCGTAGCTGAGACTACAGGTGCATGCCATCACACCCGGCTAAGTTTTATATTTTTAGTAGAGATGGGGTTTCACCATGTTGGTCAGGGTGGTCTCGAACTCCTGGCCTTAAGCGACCCGCCTGCCTCAGCCTCCCAAAGTGCTGGGATTGCAGGCATGAGCCACCACACTCAGCCTATTTCCTTCTTTATTATCCCATTTTTAACTTCACCACCGTATGTGTCCTATCTTTAGCTCTGTCCTAGAGACTTAATGCTTGCCACTTGGTTGTGCAGCAGAAGACAGCTGGCAGCAACAATGCCATCCGCATGGTTTTCTTCCTATCTTTGATGTTGATTCAGGCTGGATTCTCTTGAGCCGGTGGAGGCTCCTGCAGTTTTAGAAGGTGAGAAGTCACAAGGTCTCACCTGCTGCATCACGCTGGAGGTGTGCGGAGGCAGTGGAGTCTGAGCTGATGATGCTAGTATTTACTTAGCAATTCTCTATACCTACCTAGCAGTGATTCAGGTTGTAAAGAGAAATTTGATTGGTTAAATTATTTTAACCAATGTTTGAATGCCTATTTTACTGTGATGAACGTAGATGTACAAAATGTTTTGCTCATTAGGAGTCTCCAAAATCTAGCAGGTATGTCAGTTATGTAACATTCTTTTAAGTAAATAAAATATGGTAAATGCTGAGTTAGAAGTAGGTGCAAGCTGTTGTTGAAGGCATCATATGACTCATTGAAGGGCTTATCAGGGGAGGCTTATTTCATAAGGGATGTAATGGGCCACATCTTGACAGATAAATGGAAATTTACAAGTGGACAGGGGCTTTAAGATCCTTGTATAGGATCTTAAACCTATTGTGAAAACACAATGGAATCAATCTGGGCCCAAATGTAGCTCCAGTAAAGGGTGATACCAGCAAGGGTAGAGCTTTAGTTCCTTGATATCATGGCTTAAGGTAGCCAAGAAGTTCTGATTCAACAGTGCCCTCAAGTAGCATGCTGTACAGATAGCCTCGCATAGCGATTAAGAGTGGGCTCTGCAATTAGGCTGCCCAGATTCAGATTTCATCTCTGTGCCTTACTAGCTTTGGGACTCTGGACAAGTTACTTAACCTCTCTGTACCTTGACATTGTGTCTACTTCATATAAATGAAAATTAAATGAAATAAAATACATAAAGTGCTTATCAGCAGGATCTGACACTCAGAGTGTTCAATAAAGGTTTGCTATTTTTATTTTTGACTGTTTACATCAGCCTAGAGCAGGGGTTGGGAAACTACATCATGTGGGCCAGGACCAAATCTGGCCTGCAGTTAGATTTACAAATAAAGTTTTATTGGAACCAAACCATGCCCATTAATTCAGTATTGACTATGGCTGCTTTGTGTGTGCTGCAAGAGCTGGGTTTAGTAGTTGTGACAGTGACCAAATAGCCTGTAAAGTCTGAAGTATTTACCATGTGGCTCTTTGTAGAAGAAATGTAACTTTTTGAAGAAACTTACCATTTACTATATGGTCCTTTGTAGGATAAATTTAGAGGATAAAATCAATCTCTTTCTCTCTCAAGATCTTCAGTGATTGCTTCCAAACCAGCCTTTTTTCTATCCATAACTAACAGATGGCCACAGCAGCTTTGGTTTTCACTGGCCCTTCTATTCCTTTCATAGCTGCTGCTGGATTGTGCTTCCTTTAGTGTCCCAACTACTCTTCTATCTTTTGCATGAATGTGGGCAGAGGCAGGGCCAGGACTAGGGTAGGATGTATGAGGCACTCACTCTAGGTACACAATTTAAGGGGGCCCCAAAAAACTTGATAATCAAGATAATTTGTTAATGTTTTTAAAAATAAAAATTAATGCAAAAAACCCATGATGAACAAAGTATTGATATTTTACTTTTTTATTCCTTTTTTGGAAGCTTAATATAATTTTGTTAAACTTTTTTCCAGGTTTAGTATGATAGGCAAATAAAAATTTGTAGGCCGGGCACGGTGGCTGTAATCCTAGCACTTTGGGAGGCTGAGGTGGTAGGACTGCTTGAGCCTACAAGTTTGAGACCAGCCTGGGGAATATGGTGAGACACTGTCTCTACAAAAAATAAGAAAAAAATTAGCTGAGTGTGGTGGGACGCAAGTGTGACTCCAGCTACTTAGGAAGCTGAGGTGGGAGGACCGCTTGAACCCAGGAGGTCATAGCTGCAGTGAGCCGAGATTGTGCCACTGCACTCCAGCCTGGGCGACTGCGCAAGACCCTGTTTTGGGGGGGAAAAAAAAGAAATCTAAGTTGTACAGCTTAGTGTTTTGATCTAAATGTATCTTGAGTAATGATTCCTACAGTCAAGCTAATTAACATATCCATCACTTGAATAGTTACCATTTTCTTGTTCTCACGATAAGAACATTGCAGATCTACTCTCTTAGCAAATTTCAAGTATTCAGTAATACATTATTATTTATAATAGTTACCATGATGTACATTGAATCTCTAGAAATTATTCATCTTATAACTAAAAGTTTGTATCCTTTGACCAACATATCTCCATTTCCCCCACCCCCAGCCCCTGGCAAACACTATTCTACTGTATGTTTCTCTTAAGTTTGACTTTTTTAGATTCCATATATAAGTGACGGGATCAGTATTACTGATTTTTTTTTCCTCAGCCTCCAACATGGCTCAACATAGTACTGGGCAGCAGAGAGAAAGTAACCCACATTTAAGTGGCTTAAGCCCAGATACTTATACTTCCTACATATATGTGGGAGAGAGTAATAAGATTCAAAGTAACCTGCTGGCTGATCACCAATGTGATATACCAATGGCATATACGCAGGTCCTTGTCAGGACTAATTTCATAAAGTATAATTACGCACATATTTTGTTGAACTTAGTTTACAGGAGTGATCTGTGTATAATATGTTGTATAAAATGAAGGAATGAAAACATTTCCAAAAGTTTTCAAATGGTTCATTTGAAATGGTTCACTGAGAGCAGTGAAGCATACATTAGAATAGCAGCATTGGATAACTAAAACTGTTTACCAAGAGATCTGGAAGGATCACCTGGTTCCTGCAAGCTTTTTCTAGGAAAGGCCAGATAGGGATATTAATTGAATTTTAATGCTTTCCAATAAACATTGACCCAGCAAGCTTTTTTAGATGACTAACTTTCTAATCTGCTTTGACATTTCTTCGTGGGGCTGCAAACAGTGATTTGTTGGTAGGTTTTAAAATATGTATAATTTGTTTCAGTGAAGAAGGTTTGGAAGTATACTGTAGAATTCTATGAAAGCAGAATGGAGTCTTATCTGTAAGGAATAAGTCTGGAGGAATGGATAAGATCAACTTCTCATTTCTTGGACACGTTGTTGAGATGGATAGGAATTATTTGATGTTTTGACATAGTAAATTAGTTGTTCTGCCTCTCACTGTTATATAACAAGAGATAAAATGCAACGTTGAACTTGATGGTCTTTTGCTTTCTAAATGCTTTTCATTGTTTTTAGGTGTATAGTGTTGATTGGAGCCAAACCAGAGGTGAACAGCTTGTGGTGTCTGGCTCATGGGATCAAACTGTCAAATTGGTATGATAGCATTATTGTATTCGAAAACAAATATTCCCCTCTCTAGAGCTTCTGCTAAATTTTCTTTTCTTTTCCAAACATACTTCTGTAGCTTTATGATTGGATAGCTGAGTTTTCTTAAAAAAAAAAAAATAAAACATTTATTAGAACTTAAAATTTTCTAATCTTTTGGCTGTGAACTAATAGCTCAGCATTAGTTTGGCACTTAAATACCATCCTGCTTTATATCAAAATAGATCTTTAAAAATCCTTGAGATCTGTATATATATTGTATGTGTATATGTAAATGTATATAGTTTATTGGTATGTATAGTATATGTAAAAGCATAAATTTGAATTTATCCCTCTTGAGTAATTGATCTATTCATTTATTTTTAGTGGGATCCAACTGTTGGAAAGTCTCTGTGCACCTTTAGAGGCCATGAAAGTATTATTTATAGCACAATCTGGTCTCCCCACATCCCTGGTTGTTTTGCTTCAGCCTCAGGTAAGTAATTCCGTATTTACCAAAAGCCTTATTTGTAGTGAATGGTGGCCTTGTTTTTACCATTAGGTGGCGCTGTGTACCTTAGCTTCAAAGAGAAAACAGGAGACTATTACTATTCTTTTGTGCTCTTAAGACTTTACTTGTTTTTTTTAATTTTTATTTTTTATTTTTATTATTATACTTTAAGTTCTAGGGTACATGGGCACAACATGCAGGTTTGTTACATATGTATACATGTGCCATGTTGGTGTGCTGCACCCATTAACTGGTCATTTACATTAGGTATATCTCCTAATGCTATCCCTCCCCGCTTTCCCCACCCCATGACAGGCCCTGGTGTGTGATGTTCCCCATCCTGTGT